ACCTAGATAAGAGAGTTTAGGTGGGGTAAATCTTTGACAGAGGCCAGTAATGTCCTTTTAAGGCTGGGCTTTGAACAAGGAAATATGTCAGGAAAAAAGCCTGGATCTCCCCCATAATTGGTTATTGATGATTATTTTTCTCAGGTCCATATCACTAGTCATAGGATCATAAGAGCATAGATTTAGAGCTGAAAGGGCCTCAGTGGTCGTCTAGTCCATCCCCCTTATTTTTAGTCCTAGCTAAAGGAGCTTCTTTCTCATGGGAAAGAGTCTTATATCTATTTATTGCCTCCAAGGGTTCAGTGATCTTTTTTCTCCCTCTACTCTGTTACATCCTGCCATCCTTCAATCTACTAACTCATGAAATCTTTTTTCTTCTTTGTTTTCAAACTGGAGTTCTTCCATTTTTGAATGGTTCATTTCATGTTCCCTGGTAACCTGAAAAGTGAGAAGGATCTCAAGACCTTTACCTAAAATCAATCTGCAGGTTGATTATAGGTAGCTAGTACTGGGCCTTGGCAGAAATACAACCACCACACACCGTGTAGGTCAGTGTAGAAGCCTCCCACTCCCCATTCTTGCTGGAATTGATGGCTTCAGCCTTTAGTCGTTGTTGCTAGTAGCTGTCCAAGAGAGCTACAATGGTAGTTAGTGGCAGCCTTTAATTCTGGCATTCTTCCGTCTCTTCATCTTGTCAGCTCTTTGCCAATCACAATAAACTTCCTTTCCTTTGTCTTACTAACCTCTTACCTAGCTTACCAAGTTGTCTTACCTTTTTTTTTTAAATCCTGCCTTACTAACTCCCTCCTCCTTGAGTCCTTTTCCTCCAATCCTCAAGTCCTTTCTGATTCACTTCTCCTTCACCTCACTCCCTTACCATCTCTTTCACTGAAATTATTTCTTCTGTTTCTCCTTCTCAGCTCCTTCTCCTGTGCCTTCTTTTCCTCCTCCTTCTCTTTATTCTCAGGTCTTTTCATTCTAGTCCCTTTTCAGCTGAAGCTCTCCTTTTTTCCTTCAAATCCTAAAATCCTCCCGTATTCCCCTACCCCAAATATAACCTTTGGCCTTTCATAATTCCAATTCAAATCTCCTTCACAATAACTTTTCCTTCTTCAATTACATCCTTCTCCTATACAGGGACCAACTTGACTTAAAAGGACATGGAGCAGCTGAAGCACATTTAAAGGAAGGTGACCATGATGGTGAGATAAAGGCAAGGAAGTCTGACCCAGTATAACACTACTAGGCCTCTATTCCAAAGAAATCAAAGAAGAAAAGGATGTAAATGTACAAAAATATTTATGGTAGCTTTTTTGTAATAGTCAAGGATTGGAAACTAAATAGGTAGTCCATTGGAGAATGGCTTAACAAATTATAATATGTGACTATAATAGAATGTTATTGTTTCATAAGAAATTACAAAATGGGCAGTTTCAGAGAAAACTGGGAAGGCTGCAATGAATTGATGCAGAACAAAGTGAGCAGAATTAAGAGAACAATTTATACAACAATTACATTTTAGAGAAAAACTTTGAAAGACTTTAGAATTCTGATCAATGCAAAACCACCAGCCGACAAGATTGAAGATGAAACATGCCTCTCTTCTCTTGCCAGAGAAGTGATTAATTTGAAGCTTTTTCATCCCTCCTCAAACCTCTCATTATTTCCCCTTCCCTGACTCTCTCAGCAGAGAACCTGTCTCATGTTTTACAGAAAAAATTGAGGCTGTTTGCTATGAACTCCCTCATCTTCCCCCTTTCTCACCTCCTTTAACTTAGGTGCCTTTGGCCATACTCTCCTTCACCTCTGTCTCACGTGGTGGATGAGCTACCTTACCCTTACCAAAGCTAACCCCTCTTCTTGTTCAAGTGATTCTATTCCAGCCTTTCTCCTCCAACAGACTGCCCCCTCTGTCATCCCCATTCTTTCACTTATTTTCAGTCTCTCCCTCACTAGTGGCATTTCTTGCTGCCTACAAACATGCCCATGTCTCCCTTATCTTAAAAAAAAAAACCTCACTTGATCCTTTCACCCCTTCTAACTATTGTCCTATTTCTCTTCTGCCCTTTGTAGCTAAACTCCTCAAAAAAGCCATCTACAATAGGTGCCTCTACTTTCCTTTCTCTCATGCCCTTCTTAACCACTTATAATCTGGCTTCTATCCCTATCATTCCACTGAAACTGCCCTCTCCAAAGTTACTGATGGCCTTTTAGTTGCCAAATCCAATGAGCTTTTCTCAATCTTCATTCTCTTTGACCTCTCAGCAGCTTTTGGCACTGTTGATCACTTCTCCTTGATACTCTTAAGTTCCCCCAATTAATAAACTTTAGTGGCTTTCCATTGTCTCCAGGATCAAACAAAAAATGGTCTGGACATTCAGTGCCCTTCATAACCTAGCTAGCCCCCTCCTACCTTTCCAGCGTTCTTATACCTTTTTCTTCACCTCATACTCTTCAATCCAGTGATACTGGCCTCCTGGCTGTTCCATAAACAAGACACTCTACCTGCTCCAGGCATTTTCTCTGGCTGTCCCCCATGCCTGAAATGCTCTTTCCTTCACTCGGATTCCTGACCTCCCTGGCTTCCTTTAAGTCCGAAGTAAAATCCTACTCTGTGACCCTGGGCAAGTCACTTAACCCTGTCTGCCTCAGTTTATACGTAAAATGAGCTGGAGAAATGGTATTTTTCTCCAGTATTTTTGTCAAGGAAACCCAGCAGGAGTCACGAAGGGTCAGAGACAACTGAAAAATGACTCAACAAAATAGTTTGCACTGTATATATTTGTTTGCACGTTGTCTTCCCTGTTAGATTGTTAGCTCCTCTAGGGCAAGAACTGCCTTTTGCTTCCTTTTGTATCCCCAGTGCTTAGCACAGTGCCTAGCACAGAGTAGGCATTTAATAAATGATTATTGAATTGAATTGGAAATGCCAAAGGAGACATACCTTTTCAGGTATGGCCAATGTGAGAATTTGTTTTGCTGGATTACTCACGTTTATAATGTCAATTTTATGATTGTTGTTGTTGTTTTTTTTTTTTTAATGGGGGAGGCAGTAGAAGGGACAAATAAAAAAAAAAGTAAATTCCCCCATGCTAGAGATCTTGTAAGTGGAATCTAGATGAGCATGTCTCAGGAATATTGTTAGGGTCATCCTTGCCTCCTTACTTTCTCTCGTCGCACATATCCAAACAATAACTGAATCTTACTGCTTTTACCTCCACCACATCTCTTACATCCACCCCCTTCTCTTCCTTCATATACCACCATCTTTGTCCAGGTCCTTTGGCCTGTACTATTGCCATTGACTTCTTACCTTAAGTCTCTCCTCATTCTAACCCATCCTCCATTCAAATACTCATGTGATTTTCCTAAGCACAGGTCCCACAGTATTAGTTCCCTGCTCAGTAAACTCAGTTGCTCCCGGCTATCTCTAGGCTCACATGTAAACTCTTGTTTTTGTCACCTAAAGCAGCCTGGTTTTGGTATGCCTTTCTACATTCATTACACATTCCTCCCCTTCCTGCCCTCTGTGGTTCAGCCAAACTGGACTTCCTTGTCCCTCACCCATAACCTCACATCTCATGTCTCCATGCCTCTGCACAGATTGTCCCCCACATGTAGAATGCATACCCTCATCATTTCTGCCTCCTTCAAAGCTCAGCTCAAGTACCTCTTACATAAGGTCTTTCCTACCTCTAGCTCTAAGTATTGACCCCCTCCCTGAATATATAATGTATTTTATTTGTATGTATTTGGTGTCTATTTATGGAAGTACATGTTTTATCCCCTGATACAATGTAAAGTCCTTGAGAGCAGGGATTGTTTCATTTTTGTCCTTGTATTCCTAGTGCCTAGCATGGTGCTGGCCATATATCAGACATTTAGTAAATAATAGATTGATTAATATACGAGTAATACTTTTTGGTACATATGAACATGAGAAAAAAATTAGAAATGAAAAACTTCCTAACAATGAGAGCTACCAATCAGTCAATCAATAAGCATTTGTTAAGTGCCTACTGTGTGCTAAGCTCAAAAACCTAGATGATTGAGAGGAAGCCAGTGGAAGCCAATGACTCACAGTTAATAAACATTTATCAAGTGCCTATTATGTGCCAAGCAATATGCTAAGCGCTGGGTATACAAAAGTAGAAGACAGTCACTGCTCTCAAGGAGCTCATAATCTAATGGGCAAGAGAGTGAAAAAAAAAGAAGGGACAGGGTCTGGGAGTACGCACAGTTAGGAGGCCCTATCTGGATCATGAACCAGAAAAGGAAGAGAAGATGTTGAAGAGGTAGGAGAAAACAAGAAAAAACAGCAATATGAAAACCTAGAGAAGAGGGAGTATCAGGGAAAGGTTAATAGGGGCCAAAGGCTATGAAGAGGTCAAGAAGGATGAGGATTGAGAAAAGGCCATCAGATTTAGCAGTTAAGAGATTATGGGTCACTTAGGAGAAAACAGCTTCAATTGAGTGATGAGGCTGGAAGTTAAATTTCAAAGGGTTGAGGAGTGGCAGAAAAGAAAGTAGAGACAATTAGTGGAGATAACCTCTAGGAATTTGGTTGTGAAAAGGACAGATATAGTAGGCTCTAGTAAGGTTGTTTTTATTTTTATTGTTTTTTTTCCCTTTTTTTCTTAATTTATTTTGATTTGTCAACAATCACTTCCATAAGTTTTTGAGTTTTAAATTTTTCTCCCCCTCCCTCCCCAAGATGGCGCACAATCTGATATAGGCTATACATATACATTCCTATTAAACATTTTCACATTTGTGCTGTTGTAAGGAAGAATTAGAACCAATAGGAGGAACCATAAGAAAGAAGAAACAAAACAAAACAGAAGAAAAAAAATAGTAAATAGTATGCTTCAATCTGCATTCAAATTCCATCGTTCTTTCTTTGGATGTGGATAGCATTTTCCATCATGAGACTTTTGGAGGTGTCTTAGATTAAGGTGTTGTTGTTTTTTTTTTAAAGGGTTGATATGGTTGTGTTTGTAGTCTGGTAATAGTAGCTACCAGTAGAGAGATTTTGAATATTAAAGATAGAAAAAGAATCCAATCTGTTGGAGAAGATGGGAGGGTATGGGATCAATATGGAATGGGCTGCCTTTCAAGGAAGGGGGTTCCCCCTGAATGGAAGTCTTTAAGCAGAGACTGGATAACCACTTGATGGGCATATTGTAGAGGGAATTCTTGTTCATTTATGAGTTGGACCGAGTGGTCTCTGAGGTACCTTCTGGATCTGTGATTCTGTGGCATTGACATTCTCCTCTCTGTCTCTTCATTCTTCCTTCTGAAAAATGAACAGGGTGGATTAAATGGGGACTTTAAAGCCATGGTTTGAACCCAGCTTGAAATCCTATAATTCTTTGGAAATTAATGTTATTCCTCATTCTTCCTCAGAGTTCTTGCCTTCATTTCCCATAGTGATGCTAGACTTGTAGTTTACAAGACTGAGATCATCTCTCACCTCCTCCGGCCACCAGCCCCATCATGTCCAGCTTGGGTAGATGTGGAATAGGGTCCACGCTGTAAGGTAGGCTGTGTTTTGTTGTCTTTTTCATAAATCAGAACAACAAAATCACTAGTCTTCCATACAGCATTTGACCAGTATTACCTCAGATCAGCCAGGTACAGAAGAAAGAGTTTGGGATTTGGGGCTCAGCAGCAATCCAGGTTCAAATTCTGGCTTTGACACGCCTTAGTTATGCAAACTTTTCAAGCCATTTCTCTCTGAGCCTCCATTTTCTCATCTATAAAATGGTGATGATGCCTGTACTACCTATGTACAGAGTCATTGAAAGGAAAGCATTCTGTAAACTTTAGAGTTCTAGTGAAATGGGAGCGATTATTATAGTCTGTTTCCCACCAGCCTTGCTTAGGTGATGCTAGTTACAGCACTAATTCTTCAGTTAGATTCTTTTTGGCCGTCACCTCTGACTCCCCTCCCCTGCTTTGGTGATATTACATATTCAGTACATTCCTAGGCATTCCTAGCTCTCAGTTTCTGCTTAGTTGAGCTGGCTAGGAACCACACTGATGTCCTTGTTTTCCATCCCTGGCCACTGCTTCCAAGTTGTCCTCAGCATTCCCATGCTGGAGATTTAGAAATATGATTGATTATTAATGTCAAGCCCCTGATGAAATGTTCTACTTAACAGTTTTTGGCTGTTTGGCCAACCAATCTCTTTTCCTTGCATACCTCTGTACAGTAAGCCTATGCTCATTCTGGTTAATTCTTTCAGTTTTCAGGTGGGGAAGCTGATATACACAGAGAAGTGATTTTCCTAAGGTCACAGACTGAGATCAATGAGAAAGCCAAAACTAGCCCTATGAGAAGGCCACGATGGGGCTCTTTTGTTAACAGGTCTCTTCACACCTGGGCTCTCCACTGTTTGAATTTTAGCTATATCCTTTTTCAGGAGGGTGACCCATAGAGAATCACTTACCTTCTCTTGAGCTTTGTTTTTTTTCATCTATAAATGAGGATAATAATTCCATGTGGGTTGCCTACATCATAAGGAATACTATGAGGAAAGGGCTTTACGATATAGTGGAAAGAGCCTTGGGCTTGAGGTCAGGAAGGACTTGGATTTGAGTTCCATATAATTATAAGCAAATTATTTAACCCTGTTAAGCCTCAGCTTTCCCATCTATAAAATCTGGTTAATAATACCTTTAGTATCCACCACACAGAATTGTTTTGAGAATCAAAGGAGATGTTTTATATAAAGCTCTTTGTAAACCTTAAAGCAACCATATGAATGTTGGCTATTATTGTGCTATCTTAAAGTACTATAGAAATAAATTATCATAATAATTATTATCATTATTATGGGTGACTTTTGTCCCTTGATCATCTTGCTTCCTTAGGTTGAGTCTTTGAGAAAGAATAGGGCAAGAAAAGAGCATCAATAAAAGTTTTTTTTTTTTTTTAAAAAACAGAATAGGGAACCGTTAATAGAATTGCAGAATGTGAGAGTTAGAAGGGCCCTTAGAAATCATTGAGTCTAGTTCTCATTTCATAGAGTAGAAAATTGATACTTAGGGAGAGGAAAGAACCAATACTTACTCAGGGTCGCAAAGCCAGTCAATGATGAAAAGAGATGTAGAAGGTTCTATTTTGAAATTGTGATTTATCTAAATGGGATCTTAATTCAGTCATCATGTCCATTCCTGGAAAAAAAAAAAGCAATTTTCTCCCTTTCCACTTTCCAACCCCCCCCTCCTCACCATGTGCTATGAAAACAACTACTTCTAATATCTGCATTCAGAAGCACCAGATGGACAAGCAGACAGTAGCCAGCTTTCTAAAAGGCTAAGATGGGGAAATTGGGAGCCTTGAGGGCTATTCTGCACTAAACTGCACACACCTAGACAACCCTGTTAGCTCATCACCTGGTCTAGGGGAGCATTATCAATTGGATCAAATAATGGCATCTGGACAATGCCAGCCCCTGTTCTCATCTCCAGGTCAAGTGTTCTTATCAACATGTCTCTCTCCATCTGGCCAAAACTCTAGTACAACAGGCAAATAAAAAGTCATTAGAAAGGTAGTCTGGAGAGCAAGGAAAATCAGTAGCTGGATTTCTCTCTTTTACTTTAAGTTTTTGTGACATTAAGGGAAAAGTGTCAAACTTGCCTAACTCAGTTTTCCATGCAATATTACTTCATTAAAAGAAAAAAAAAACAAATCCTAATATAGAGTCAATGAATATTAAGGCTGGAAGCAGTCTTAGAACAAAGAACACAGAAGGTGAACTCTAGGAAGGCCCTATGACATGGAAAATGAGAGGTGGGAGGGCTTAGAACTTAGAATATGAGAGCTGACCTTAGTGCTCATTCTGGTTAATTCTTTCAATTTTCAGGTGGGGAAGCTGATACACACAGAGAAATGATTTTCCTAAGGTCACAGACTGAGATCAATGAGAAAGCCAGAACTAAACTCTAGCTCTTAATCTGCTAGTTCAAGACCCTTTTTACTATACTGGATTTATTCATTGAATAGAGTATTATATTCCTTGCTCTTCATTTTAAAAGTAGAATGAATTCTATTTTATATCTGGTGTAAGTCCAATTTCAGTGAAATATTCCTTTTCATACCCTAAGGCAAATGGGAGCCATATATATTCACTCTTCATCACTTTTTCAAGATGATTTCCCTCCCAAACATTTTAGATTGCCTGAGCTGAGGTAATCAATGAGATTTGTCTTGAGTTGGCATGATAGAGAGAAACAATGCTTGAGGGTCATTCCTTAGAGATGCGAGTGAAACAACCACAGTATTTAGGATGGGTGGAAGAAATATTCACCTAGGCTTGTTAAGGAAGAAGTTTGGTGATAAAGGGAGGAAAGATCAAGGAATAGAAAAATGGAGATGTGTGGGAAGAGAGAAGGTTTTTTAGAGGAGATTGAAATGAATACTGTTAAATTTCCCTGGTTGATGGGATTCCAGTGTGTTCCCTGAAAGGTTATAGCTCAGATTGGAAGTGGGAGAAAAAAGAAAGACAGCCCACAGAAAGGAAACAAACACTCTGCTACTTGGTTTCTGTGGTAACTCTGCAAACATGTGGGTATGCATTCAATTGGCTGATCTTTGTCATAGAGAGAGATGGTGGGAGATAGACAAATAGGAAGAGAAAGAGAGAGACAGGAAAGAAAAAAGTGGACAAAGATGGATAGAGAGAGGAAGGAGAAAGACAGATTGATAGAAAAGAGATAGGAGAGGGACACTAACAGGAAAGAGTGAGAAGCAGATAGGAGAGACAGAGACATGAAAGAGGGAGAGACAAAGAGACGGAAAAGAATGGCAGAAGAGAAAGGGAAATAGGAGAGGAAATGATAGAGACAGACAAAAAAAGGGAACTATGAGACTTTCTCTTCCTCTGAGAGGCATTACTCTAAAACCACTGAAAGCCATCACTTGAAATATTGGCTGTGGGGTCACTGTGGAATTTGAAGGTCCCCTTACCTTAGGCTAATTTGGTCTTCCTGTTCATCTTTAAGTGTCCGCTTAAACAAAAGCAGCCAGGGCAGCTAAGTGGCACAGTGGAAAGAACTCTAGCCTTGGAGTCAGGAGGACGTAAGTTCAAATCTGGCCTGAGACACTTGACACTTACTAGCTGTGTGACCTTGCGCAAGTCACTTAACCTCAATTGCCTCACCAAAAAGCCCCCCCCCCCCAAAAAAAGAACGAAAGCAGCAGAAGATTCAGCCAATGTAGCTCTCACAACACTAGAAGGTATGAAGCTAGGGGGGCAGAACATTCATTGGTATTTCTTGGGTTATTGCTTTTTAAACAAAGCATCCCTTTCAGAAGGTCCTGAGAACAGCTCAGAAGGAGACATAAGCCCTATGCACTGGCTAGTGAATACCCACTCACTCAGCAAATATTGATCGTGCCTCCAGAACACTCAGTTACTGACTTTAAAGGGCCCACTATTTAAAATGAGAGATAATACAAGTGCAAAGATGTATGAGATGCAAAGGGATAGAGTGGAAATGTTGATGATGTTGATAACTGGCATTTAATTAAAGCTTCAAAGTCTGCAAAGAGCTTTACATGCTATCTTATTTGATAATTAGTAATTGGGCAATACCATTCCCATTTGGCTGATGACAAAAGTGAGGTTCAAAGACTTTCTTGTTGTCACATAGCTAGGAAGTGCCAGAGCTAGGATTTAAAGTCTGGTTTTCCTGTCTCTAAGATGTAGCGATTCTCTCCAGGATTCTCTACTGCTAAACTTGAGGGTCAAAAGACTTGGGTTCAGATCCCAGCTTTAACACATTACACTTTGACATGGGTGACCCTGGAAAAGTGACTTTATTTTTCTGATCCTGTTTCCCCATTAGTAAAACGAGGAGAAAGATTGCTTTCCCATCCCATCTCCCAGGCTCTGAGGAAGGGGGGGGGGGGGAAGAATGAATAGTGGAAGAGAGGACAAGATAGAGGCCTTTGCTTATTTCCCCTAACAATAGAGAAAATGCTTTGGGAGCTCAGAATTAAGAGAAGGACTGTTAGAAGCTACAGAAAGCAATATCCTCCTCTCCCATGTGCAAGACAAAAAGGAGGTAGGGTATCCATTATTAATCATCTTGAGGTTTCCTGAATGTAGATGGCACAGAAAAAAAGTCAATATGGAAAATGGAAAGAGCACCCAACTAAGATCCTGGAGTCCTGGGTTCTAGTCCTGGGCTCTGACACTTTCTTAGGCAAGTCACTGTACATCTATGGGTCTCAGTTTCTACCTATGTAAAATGGAGAAGAGAGGTAGCTATTGTTTAGTGCAGGGTTTCTATATTTTTTTTGTGTCCTGGATCCCTTTGACAGTCTGGACTGTGGTCTTTTCAGAATCATGTTTTTAAATGCATAAAATAAATGCAGAGGATTAAAAAAAAAAGGAAACCAATTATATTGAAATACAGCAAGAAAAATTTTAAAAAGACAAGTTCATGAACCCAAGGTTAAGAACTACAGGCATAGTAGAAAGAACAATAGATTTGGAATCAGAGGAGCCTGGGCCTGGGTCCTGGCCTCTAGTCAATTGCCCTCTCTGAACCTCAATTTTTTCATCTATGAAATGAAGGCAATACTTTCACTCCCGACCTCACAGGAGTGTTGTAAGGAAAGGGGTTTGTAAATGATTGTCATTAATAACAACAAGAGTAACAATAATCTCTGCCTTGTCTACATCTTAGCATTGATGTGATGATGAAATGAGGCTAACCAGTGTCTCAAATGTATAGTCTGGGTACCTCTAAGATCCTATAATTTGTCACGGTCCTGAATGCAGAGTGAGGTTGGGGGGAGATGCTTTATAAATGCTGGTAAAAACCCCTGCTGATTTTAAGAAAGGCTGAAATGAGATTTCTTTGGAGTCAGAGAACTTATGTTCAAGCCTTGCCCCTGCTGCTTGCTTCCTTATGTGACCTTAGACAAATCTTTGAACCTGTTTACTTATCTGTAAAATGGGGGCGGGGCGGAGAGACTAGATGACCTAAGGCCTCTTCTAGCTTTAAATCCTGTGATTATAGAACATTTTCTCATTTAACCAAAAAGCCACTACTCATCCCCTCTCCAGAGCTATCCCTGGGTCCAGCCAATTGTTTGGGGAGGGGAGATGCATAAGGGGAGGATGTGATTCCAGCCAGCTGGGGAGAGAGACACACGGAAGCTGATATGTATACACTCGGCTCATAATTCACAGTTTTCCCTAAGTTGAACCTTCATGGTGTGTTATTTTTTTCTACTGCCAGCCGTCCTGAGGCTCTGCCTGTCTCCTCTTTCACTTCCTCTAGCTGACATTCTTGGTAAAAGAGGCATGGGACAATCAGGGATCTCCTTGGGCCCACAAACTAATGGTGAGTGGTGCTGCCTCCCTTAGGGTCGATACTAAGGAGCTGGAAATACCTGGTTAGGATGGGGTGGTAAAGAAGATGAGATCAGGTGGACAGACTGGTTTGGAGCTCTGAGTTTGCTATCTTCACCTCCTCCCTGCTCTACTATGTCCAGGTACACTGTGTTCTCCACATACGCTCTTGTATTCCTCGATACCCAAGGTACACTTTGATTTTTCCTGGGTACAGGTGCACAAAGCATCTCTCTATGCCTCTATCTCCCTCTGTTTTCCAAGGCCCCTGTCATTTAGAATGCATAGTTTGGCAGATTGGGCACTGAACCTAGAGCCAGAGAGACCTGGGTTCAAATCTCACCTCAGACTTTGGTAACACTGGAAAAATCACTTACGCTCTCTCTATTTCAGTTTCCTAATCTATCATATTAAATTTTATGGCCTCTAAGTCCCCTTCCTAAATCTGTGATCTTTTGATCATTAAACCCTCACACTTGTGAGACTGGAGGAGCCTGGGCTCAGGGCTGAGGCAGGATAAAGGGAAGTATGGGGTATCCTCAGAGTCTCAACTCTTATCTTCAGCCTGTCTGGGTACTAGGAATGAGAGAGCCATTTGCTCTTTTTCTTAACCCCCTCCTAAGCAAGTGGGAGCATGGAATCCTGGGAAGTTCCAACCTCATTCCAGCCCTGGAATTGGAAGACCCTTTTCCCTCTCCAGCCTCTCCCTATGATTGGATGACTTCTCCCAGAACCTCCATTTAAGGAGGGCACCCAGGCTAGCCACGTCTCATTCCTCTCCAGGTTGTCCTTGGGACTTTCTCTATCATGCCCCCACAGTGGGTACCTTTATTTCCCCCACGTACCTTTTTGTTTCCTTTACTGTCTTTCCTTAATGTAAACTCCTTAAGGGCAGGGACTGTCTTTCTATTAGTATTTGTATTCACGGTGCTTACTATCTGGCATTTAATAAGCACTTAATAAATGCTAGTTGATTTATTGACTAATTCTAACCACCTGCTAGGGCTTCTGTCTCAAGTCCCTACCTCTTCAGACCTATGTGATTCAGATCTCATAAGAGTCATTAGAACTGAGTACCTGGATGCAGGCATTGCTCACGTCTCACTTGGTGTGATCTTTAGCATTGGTCCTTGTCCCATGGTTTTTGTGGTGCATGGTCTGGAGGGGGCGGGAAGAAAAGTCAGGGGCAAGTTCAGCTTTGTTCTAGCCTTCTCATTGTTGGATGGATAGGAGTATGGACTTTCCTAGTTCTAGGTACAGAAAACTGGAAGGACAGCAGGCCCTCTCCCAAGAAACAGAACTGAGATGTGGAGAAAGGGTTCATTGCCCAATGAAAAGCAAACACGAGGTGTGGAGTTGGGTGGTGACACTACCGCTGCGTGGACAGTCAGGGGCTCCCTCTGTAGTGCACTTTGCCATTCCATTAAATGAGAACTGCTCCCCCTGCTGCCTCCTTACCTCCATTTTAATAGGTTGAAGAAAGCAGAGGACTCTTGGAGATGGGTAGTGGGAAAGGGGAGAAAGGAGAACCTGGAGACATCTCTTATCCTCTCACTTTCCCGGCCTAGTTGCTAAGCTTAGAGATCATCTAGTCTAAACTCATTTTACATAGGAGGAACTGAGGTCTAGAAAGACAGAGGCAGTAAAAAAAACAAGATCAAGATTGAACCTGAGCCCTTTGTTTCAAATGCATTGTTCTTTTCATTGCATTATCATATGAGGAAACTGAACTCCTGGGGTTTCCTCTGCCTTGTGTTCCCAAGGCTATCCGAAGTTCAGTCCCCCAAATTGCTGGGTAAGATGTACTTGCACTAACCCTGGCTGTCGCAGGGGGGCGCCAAGCACATAGATTGACCAAACCAAAAAAAAAAAAAAAAAGACAAAACCTAGTTGGGCTTACCTGGTGGGCATTGTGGTCTCCCTTGCTTCTGTTGACCGAAGGTCAGCTAACTCTCTCCTGCAACCTGCAGGAGGCACCCCAGTTAGATTAGACGGTTCCTGCTTTGCAGGCTTAGTTGTTCAAACAATCGGACTCTGTTCTGGCTCTCCATAGAAGCATGCCTCTGGCATTGACAGAAGGGGTGAGGGATGAGGGACTCAGTATCTGTGAAGGTCCCCAGCATACACGTTTAGCCCAGACTCCCACTTAGGCTCGGCAGCCTGTTGTCTACAGCCTCAAATAGCACCGTATCCCGCAACCTGAGTCTTGAATTTAGCAAGAGTTTACCCTGGAAACTTGAACTCTGATCTATGGACTGGTAGGGGATTGGGGGGGGGTGATTGTTAACTTTTTGGGGTCCGCTTCTAGCAGATGGGGATAACGACTGGTGTTCCTGTCCCTCTCCCCCTTCCTTTGGCTTAACGCAACCGAACAGAACTGATCGTAGCATCCTAGTGAGTTCTACTAGAAAAGCTATGCTTGTCCTAAGTACCGGAATACTCCTTCCCCAACCCCGCCTCGCCCCTCCCTTCGTCCCCGCCCCGCCTACCCAGTGGGTGGCTAAAGAGCTGGGCTCGGGCAGTCTTAAAGGACTGAGAACTGTCCGGAAACCCGGTTCTGAAGCGCTTTACTCGTTTCAGCTGTGGGCTGCCTTATAGGGTTCTTGCTGAAGAATCTGGCTTCACCGCAGATCACTTTGAAAGCTGGGAGCTCTCCGACCGCCAGTGCTGAAGTTCTCTGCTCTTCTGACAGCGCCCCTGTGGGTACAGTCCACTGCCCTTTTCCTGGGAGAGCCCAGCATAGCCCAGAGCAGTACTCTGAGCTTAGAATTGTTCGGACCCCAGTTCTGAAGCCTCTGCCCAGCCCCCTCCACTCCGCGGCTCTATTTCTCACAGCCCAAGATTTTCCTCTCCCCTCCCCCGCACCCTGTTTGAAATGGACTGGCAGGACCCCGTTGGCATTGTTTTAGAGCCAAGTAAAGCCCATTCTTTCCTCTTAATGGGCGGGACCCTTATCCGCAGACTGCCTACCTCCGAGTTTCTTCTCACTTCCTAGCCTCCATACCCCAGCACCCCCGAGCCTGTCCGGGGACTTTGTTGGAGTCTGTTCCACAGCACTAGCAGGTGTTTCGCCTCTCCCAAAGACTCCCAGCAGGCACTCTCCCAGGTCGTCTTGTCTCAAGTACCTGTCAACATCCTAGATCCTCCCTTGTTGTCTTGGCACCCCCACCCCCATGGTCTTTTCAATCTTTCACCACCCATCTCTCTTTTTACTCCTTTTCCTGCACCCCCACCCTTGGCTCCCATCCCCTCGCACACATACGCTTATCTTCAAAGCTTTGCCAGCAGATCCAGGTGTAGAAAGCATCCAGGTCTCTGGCTCAGTTCTTTTATAGTCCTTGGGTAAGGGAGGAGGGAGGAGGGAGGGTGGAGTCCCTGGGAGGGAATTATCGATTTGGCCAATCAGACCCTCTCTCAGAGCTCAACTTCTCAGATTACATCATAGAAAGTAGCTTCCTTTTCAGAGTAGAAGAAAGCTACTGGCTGAACATTGGGGAAGCAAAGAGGGTGGGGGAAGGGTGGTCTGTACTTCGCCAGGGGGCGCAAGGGTTAGGGGGCGCTTGGTTTGGTCCCTGAATGTCCCATTCTTTCAACCCTTTCCTTCGGTGGCTAGGGCGTGCCTGGCGCAGGCGCAGGCAGTCACCTTTTGTCTCCCCATGCTCCCCTTCACTTTCCCCTGCTTACCATCGCTCCAGCTGTCAGCTGGCTTGGGAATCTGGAGAAGCGCGGAAAGCAAAGCCCTACTGGGCATCTGCCTGCTCTCCACCGGTCCTATGAAGATCAAAGGATTTAGAGCTGGTAGAGGTGGCTTTCTGGTGGCATCCTCCTAGGGGACCTTGTCTTTTTTCAGCCTGGAAGTAGGGATACCGTGAACTCATAGGAAACCTCCAGCCCTTCTCCTCTACCCCCATATACTTTAATGAAGTTCTCTGCTACTAACTCTGTAACCTTGCACAAACCCATACTTCTTCTAGGACTCAATCTCCTCATCTGTAAAATGAGGAGGTTAAATTCAATCTCTAAGGTCCTTTTTATTTTGACAGTAATTGTGTGATTCTGGGCAAGTCACTTGCCTTCTCTAACCTCAATGTCTTTATCTGAAATTATGGATAATAGTTCTTGCCCTACTGACCTCACAAAATTGTACAGAGGAAAGTGCTTTGTAAACCTGAAATTGCTATAAAAATGTGAATTGTTCTCCTCATGGGCTCAGGATTTCATCATTCTTTCCTTTCTCATTCCCACATAGCCAATCCGTTGCCAAGACGTGTCCTTTCTACCCCTGCAACATCTCTCTCATTGGTCCCTCCACTCCTTTTATTCCTATAGCAACTGCTCTGCTAAAGGCTGTCATTTCTTTTCACCTAGATTATTGTAATATCCCCCTGACCAATCTTCCTGCCTCTAGTTTTCGCAGCTTTCTAATGCATCCTTTACACTGTAGCACACAGTGATCTTAGCATCATAGATGCTCAAAGATGGAAAGGCCATCTTGCCTGACCCATACATGAACAAGAATTCCATTACAATATGTCCATTATCCAGTGTTTGTTTGAAGATCTTGTAAAGTTCTTTTATTACTGTACCCTGGTAGCTCTCACTACTTTGGAATAGCTCTAAGTATTAGGAGGTTCTTCCTGACATCAAGCCTAAATCTCCTTCACTGCAATTTCCATCCTTTGCTCCTACTCTGATCCTTTTAAGGTTAAGCAGAACAAGTCCAATTATTCTTTCACTTGATGGCCCTTCAAATACGCAAAGATTCTGTGTTCCCTAAATCTTCTCTTCTCTGATTCCTTCAACCAGTCTTTACATGGAATTGTCTTGAGACCCTTCACCACCCTGGAGACCTTCCTCTTAGATACTCTAAGTCTTAGCAGTGTTCTTCCTGAAATGTGGTACCCAGAGCTGAACACAATATTTGAGGTGTGGTCTGCCTAGGTCCCTTCACTGAAATGGTGATAATGAGTTGATCTATTTCCTAGAATTTAGAACTAGAAGAGATCTTAGATCAAAAACTGGTCATGCACCCTCATTTTTACAGATGAAGAAACAAAGACCCAGAGAGATTAAATGAGGTGTTTGTGGTCACATACACTAACCTACATAGCTTCCTAGTGTGGGTCCAACCCAATAATAAGAGAATACCTGTTATCTTTGAGAGTTTAAATCACCAGAATGGAATGAACTATATCTCAGGGTACTGAAAGCACTGGAGGATGTGATTACTGAGCCACTGTTAGTAAGTTTTGAAAGACTGTGGAGAATAAGAGAAGGGCCACAGGATTGGAGAAGGGCAAATGTTCTAATTTTTAAAAAAGTGAAGATAATGGAATTTGTAAACAATAGACCAATGAACTTGACATAGATTCCTAGCAAAATTCAAAACATTTTTAATGAAAATTATGGTTTATGAAAAATCTTATCTCAACTGAGTACTCATTGGGTCATATCAATCCTTTTTATCCTTCCCTGGTTGTAACATGGTCACATTTCTCACAATGTCTGTTCCAAACCTTATCTTCTACTTCAAGTCATCTGTGTCGAAAGTCCAACACAGGGCCTCCAACATTTCTGAGTGAGACCCAAATCAGATTAAAATGTAATTGGGAAATATTTGACAAAATCAATAAAAATGAAATAGAGCAAAGATATGTAGAAAATATGTAGTTTTCTAAGTTCTTTCTCTGGTGGTGGATAGCATGTTTCATCAAGACTCCTGTGGGAATGTCATAGATCATTGTATTGCTGAGAATAGCCAAGTCATTCACAGTTCTTCATTGTTCAATATTGCTATTACTGTGTACAATATTCTCCTGGTTCTGCTCACTTCACTTTGCATCCATTCTTGTAAGTCTTTCCAGGTTTTCTGAAACCATCCTGCTTGTCATTTCTCACAGCACAATAATATTCCATCATGATCACATACCACATCTTGTTCAGCCTTCCCCAATTGATGGGCGAATGCCTCAATGTCCAATTCTTAGCCATCACAATAAGAGCTGCAAGAAATATTTTTGTATAAATAGACCCTCCCTGCCCTTTTAAAAATCTCTTTGGAATACAGACCTAGCTGTGGCATTGCTGGGACAAAGAATATGCACAGTTTTATAGCCCTTTGGGCATAGTTCCAAATTGTTCTCCAGAATGGTTGGATCAGTTTTTTTTTCCCACATTCCTTCCAACATTTATCATTTTCCTTTTTTTGTCATATAGGCAAATCTGATAGGCATAAGGTGGTACCTCAAAGTTGTCCTAATTTGCATTTTTCTAATCAACAGTGATTTAAAGCATTTTTTCATATGACTATAGATAGCTTTGACTTCGTTGTCTGAACACTGCCTATTCATATCCTTTGACCACTTATCAATTGGGGAATGACTTGTACTCTTATAAATATGACTCAGTTCTCTGTATATTTGAGGAATGAGGCCTTTATCAGAGATACTTGTTGCAAAATTTTCTCCCAGTTTTCTGATCTCCTAATTTTGGTTGCATTGATTTTGTTTGTGCAAAACCTTTTTAATTTTATGTAATCAAAATGATCTATTTTATATTTCATAAAGATCTTTATATCTTGTTCTTCCTTCATCCATAGATTTGACAAGTAAATTATTCCATGCTCTCCTAATTTATTTATTATATCATCCTTTATGTCTGAATCATGTACCCAATTTGACCTTACCTTGATAGTGTGGGATGTTGGTCTATACCTAGTTTCTGTCATACTGTTTTCCTGTTTTCCCAGTTTTTGTCAAATAATGACTTTTTATTCCAAAAGCTTGGATCTTTGAGTTTATCAAGTACTAGATTACTATGATCATTTACTATAATGTATCATGTACCTAATCTATTCCATTGATCCACCACTCTATTTCTTAGCCAGTACCAAATTGTTTTGGTAATTACTGCTTTGTAATACAGTTTGAGATCTTAGTATGACTAGACCATCTTCCTTCACATTTCTTTCATTGTTTCCTTTGATATCCTTGACCTTTTGTTCTTCTAGATGAATTTTGTTATTACTTTTTCTAGCTCTATAAAATAATTTTTGGTAGTTTGATTGTGGATTAATTTAGGTAGAATTGTCATTTTTATTATATTGCCTCAGCCTACCCATGAGCAATTAATATTTTTTCCTGTTGTTTAGATCTGACTTTATTTGTGTGAAAAGTTTTATAATTGTGTTCATATAGTTTCTGGGTTTGTTTTGTCAGGTAGACTCACTTTCCCTTCTTTCAAGGCTCAACTCAGACATTACCTCTTTCACGAAGCCTTCCTTGATACCCTCCTACCCCAGCTACAAGTCAAACCAGTCAAAATGCATTTATTAAGAATTTACTATATGCCAGGCGCTGTGCTAATTGCCAGGGATACAAATAAAGGCCAGATACTGTTTCTGCTCTCAAAGAGTTCATGTTCTGATGAGGGAAACAAAGGAAATATATACATACATTCACGATATATAGAGTAGATGGAAGGCAATCTCAGAGGAAAGGCATTAGAAGCAAGGATGAGGAGGTGAGACTAGGAAAGGCCTTTTGAAGGAGGTGACATTTAAGCGGAGTCTTAGAGGAATCCAAGAAAGGTAAGAGGTAGAGGTAAGAGGGAGAACATTCCAGGCATGGGGGACAGCCAGTGTAAAGATATGGAGTGTGGTGTACCAAGAGCCACCCTGCTCAGTTTTCTCGTAACCCTTTGCCTGGATCTCTCCTTGGCATTTGTCATATTCTCCTTTGCATCATAATTTTTCATGTACTTGTCTTCCTGCTTTATTAAACTCTTCCTCTGATATCTCATCATAGCATGGAGGTGACACTATGTTCTTGGAGGTTATGCCTTGCATAAAGTAGGTGCCTGATAAAATGTTTGTTGACTTGAACTTATGGGATGACTCCTTTTTCTGCCTGATGGTTTTTTTTTCCCCAAAGCAAGATGCAGGAGAAGAGAGTCATGGAAAAGGAATCAGGATACTTTGGTTGTACTACCAGTTCTTCCATTATCTTGCTGGGTTATTTCCCTTCCCTGAGCCTCATCATCCCTTTCTGTCAGTTGTACTCTATAAATTCTCAGTGGATCAAAGGAAATGAATAATTTAATGACTTTTCTCAGATAATTCCATTTTTTGCTCATCTCTACCTCAGCTACACAATAGACCCCTACAGAAACGTGTTCTAGTAGTACTCTGAAGTCAGAAGATCATAGGATTTAGATCTGGAAGAGGTCATTTAGTGGCCTCATTTTACAAAGGAAAAAATTGAGGTTGACAGGGGTGTGACTTGCCCAAAATGATCACACTGAAATTAAGTAACCTATGTGGGATTCACACCCAGCTCCTGAGACTCCAAATTCAGTGTCCTTCTACCACATTAAGCTTTGTTTAACCTCAGTCTTCTTTGTGGGCTTCTGCAAAGCCTATAACTAACTCACTTATGTAGCACTTTCTAGTTTACAAGGCCATATACATTATTATCTCATTTGACCCTCAGTCCTGTAAGGACTAAGGATTGTTATTACTTCATTTTACAGACTCAGAGTCGGAGGTGCAGATGAGATAAGTGACTGGTTCAAGGTCAAACAACTAATAAGTGGCAGAACCCAGATGTGAACCCAAATCTTCTACCTCCGAGTCCAAGTTTCTTTCCTTTAAGTATAAGCAATTTTCTTCTTTTTAAATTCCATTCTATTCCATTCAACAACCGTTCATTTTTTTTTCAGCCCCTCAGAGGGCAGGAAAAGATTTTAGTGGGGTGTGGTCGCCAGATTAAGAAAAGTCACATGGAGTATAAGAGCAGAAGAATCGAGGACAGGCAAAGGAATGGATGCACTGATTGGCAGGGGCAACTGGTAGGGAAGGATTTAGCACCTCTAGCATGGACAACAATGCACCCCCAGGTCAACAGCCATTCATTAAGCACTTACTGTGTTTAAGGAACTGTGCATACACAAAGTAAAAAACAAAGCAAACAGTGCCTACCTTGAATGAACTTACTTCCTCTCTGGGGAAATGGAACATGTCTAGAAGAAAGTAAATACAAAATAATTTTAAGAGGGAGAGAGGTATAATAAAGGAAGGCTGAGGAGATATGGATCAAGAAATGCCTGATGTGGCAGGGGGTACCTGAGCTGGACTTCCAAGGAGACTAGGGATTCTCTTCTGACAAAGGGGAAGAGACATCACTCTCTCTCCAAAATGACCTCAAGCCAGGGGACCACAAGTGAAGAGCTTTGTAAACTTTAAAACACTAGAAAAATGTGAACTGTTATTACCAATATCACTACCATCACCATCATTATTGTTATTACTATGATGGAATTTTCAAACTTTCAACTAAGAAAAAGAGTCTCAGGATGGCTCCTTATGTCTTGCTCTCTAGGTTCCCTGGGTTTGGCCATCTGTTTGTAAAACAAACAGAGCTGGCTCTTGAGACAAAAGCCTTTCACAAATCTACCAGGTCAGGTTCCCTCATGCTCATGAGAGTGACCATTATTGCCACTGATAATAAGTGGGGAGTATGAATTGATGGCACATTTCACCATATAAACAATCTAAAAATAAGGATCCTCTATCCCTTCCCCCCCACACCCTCAGTTTCTCTCTCACACATACAGACATCCTCTTTCTTCATCCCTGTTGCTATAGAGATGCTGTTTCTGTAGCTATTAGGAACATTTATGAATCTAGAGTGCACAGATGGTGGCCCTGGCCCACCTGAACAGGAGGGTGCTACACTGTTGTTGCTTTCAGGGCAGGATTTGTAGCCCTAGGGGATTAAGGAAATGAGGTTACGTTTTACACACCTGCCCTCGTTCCAGAAACTCAACCTGTTGGCTGCCTAGGAGGAGATTAATTGATTCAGCCATCCAGAAGAGTAGGGACATATGCACACAACAGCCCTTCTCTACCTGAGCCTGGTTGTGGAAGATTAAATGAGGTTGCTGTGATCTTCCATCTCTCCCCCTCCCTGGTGTTTGATTAATAATAATACCACTCAAGCCCGGCAAGTAGGCTGCAGGTGCCTTGGAGAAAGAGAGCAGGTCTTACCTTTCTTTGTTCCCAGCACTTCACATGGGGCCCTGTACACTGTATCTTAACAGTTTCCCAATTGTGGGAGTCCCCAAGACCCTTTCAGGAGGCCTGTGAGGTCAAAACTATTTTCATAATAATACTAAGACGTTTTAGTTTCTAATATGGTAAATAGGGATAAATAGCACACACATAAACAAAATCTCTTTGAGGAATCCTCATAATTTTTAAGAATGTAAAGGTATCCTGAGACCAAAATATTTGAAAGACACTACTGTCAACAATAAGGAAAATTTTGTTTATGTTGATACTATTTACTTCCTATGTCATCTTAAATGAATCACTTGACCTCTCTAAGACTCATTTTTTTTTCCATTGATAAGATGAGAGAATTGGACTGGATGATCTCAGAGAGTCCTTCCTTTCCCATGATTCCTTGATACTTTGCAAAGCATCTCCCAGTCTTTGCTCTCCTCTGATGCTTCCAACCACCCCAGGGGGATAGTGTGAGTGGTTGCTTGTATTTCCACTGGCAGCTAAACAACCAAAGCTAAACCAGGTGAAGGAACTAGTTCATGGTCATGCAGCAAACTAGTGGTGGGGATGGGAGGCTATAAAGTGTAATGGGGTGTAATGGAAAGACCAGTGTATTCTGAGTCAGGGGACCTGGGCTCATAGTTCATCTACTTACTAGCTCTATGACCTTGGTCAAGTCATTTAACTTCCTCAGGCCTCAGTTTTATCACCTGCAAGATGACAAGTTGGATTAGCTGATTTTCAAGGTCCTTCCAAATTGAAATTTCTGCCCCTGTCTTTGGCTGCTTTCTACTGTAAGACAAGGATAATCATCTTTCTTGCATCACTTACCTTACAGGGTTGCCTTCAGAAAAGTGCTTTGAAAACCTTAAAATTCCATAGAAATTTGAGCCCCTCATTGTTATCATCATCCCCCTACACTGTAAATTCATTTATTCTTATCTTAGAAGCCAAGGACTCTTGAAAGTTATATACCTAAAGAACAAACAAATCTTTAAAGTTTTTTATATTTTTAAATAAAATTTGTGTCATTAACATTTTCTCTATCACTTTTTTAAGTCTAGATAATAAAACAATAAATCAAACCCTGTTTTTTTTTAACCATTTGCCAATTTCTAAGGGGCAAATGCTCACATCGAAAATGTAAGAATTGACTTTTGAGAACTGTTTTGAGCTGACTCCACTATACCCCTAGGTACATCCCACTTCTGTTGGAAGAGGTGAGCTCTAAGAACCATTCTAGCTCTAAATTCTATCATCTTATGATCCATATTAATGAAGGGAATCAATTGAAAACATGGGATTAGAAAACCAAAATTTGGGTTTCTGAAATGATTCAAGTATCTTTTTTTCTCATATTTACCTTCCAAGATTGTTTAGGATCTTAAATTTTAAAAAAATAATGATATCTTTTCTTTTTGTATCACCTTCGTTCCCAAATATAGCCCTCCCCTACCCAAAAAGAGGGGAAAAGCAATGCAGCAAAACTAACCAATACATCAACTGAGTCCGACTATATGTGATGTTCCATACTCATAGTCCCCCACCTCTGCGAAGAGGAAATGGGGGAAAGGATGCATTTTCTTATCTCTTCTTCAGGGCCAAGCTTGGTCATTATATTACACAGCACTGTTTCAAATGTTTTTATTCTTAACATTTTGTAATCATTGTGTTTATTATTTTCCTGCTTCTCAATTCCCTGCATCAGTTCACATAAGTTTTCTTGTGCTTCTTGGAGTTCTTCAGATTCATGGTTTCTTATGGCAGGGTAGTATTCTGCTACACTTAAGTATCATAATTTGTTTCACCATTCCCTAATTGTTGGAGTTTTATTTTATTTCCAGTTTTTCTAATATAAAAGTGTGTGTGTGTGTGTTGTATATGGAATCTTTCTGCCTATCTCTATAGGGTATATGCTTAGCAGTGAAATCACTGGGATAGTGACATTTTAGTCACTTTCTTAGAGTAATTCCAAATTGCTTTCTTGAATGGTTGGACCAATTCATACTCCACAAACAATGTATAAGTGTGCCTGTCTTTCTACAACCCCAAGAATGAACAAATCATAAGAACCATAAAGTTCTCCCAAAAGGAAACCATTCTCAACTGAAAATCATGGTACAAAAAAAAAGATTCTTGGCTGGGGATTGAAGAGACTTGGATACTAGTCCTGGATTATCCATTAATTCACTTTGTAATTTGGGTAAAGTTACAGAATAAATAACACTAGAGACAATCTTAGAACGTGTAATATACAGTGTTAGCAGTGGAAGGAGTCTTAGTGAGCATCTAGTCCTATTCTCATTCTTTAGAAGTAATCGCTTCTCTAAACCTCAGTTTCTTCATCTGTAAAACGAAAATTACAATACTTAAAGAATTGTTGTATCAAATGAGATAATGGATGTTCAACTGTGTTATAAACAAATTGCCATTTATACCCATATGCACATTATTATAATTTGTTACTCACATGTCCAAACTACTTTACAGAATGGTTGGGCCCGCTCAGAGCTCTCTCTACTCATGGTATTATTAGTCTACCTATGCTTATTACAGTGACCCCAAGCTTCTCCCTGGAGAAAAGTTCATCTTTTAAACAACTATTCTTCTCATGTGAGTGTAGAAGATCAGTCTTTGAAGACAAAGTTGAGGGTGACCTGAAGGGCAATATGGAAGGGAAAGGGAGCAGTTTGCAAGGCATAACAAATGAAGACTTGCACAAGAGAAATAAGGTAAAATTTATTATCAAAAACATGTATGACTTGGGGTGGGGAGAGATGGGGTAATTGTATCACAAGACCTAGAGATAATCAGTGAACTGCCCATATGTACCCACTGGCCTCCACATAGTATCAAGAGAACTGGATTTATAGAAAGACATAGACAAGATGCACATGGGCTGGAGGGGCATAGATGGTATGTGATCTGCATGTTTAGAAGGAGTACCTATCTGGGTGAGAGCTTGGTTAGAAAGTCATTCAGCTAAAAATAGTGTGATACAGCTGGTGAGATCTTATGCTCAATTAAGGGAGGCATAGCATTGAGGGCTAGAGAGGCAGTAGTTCTATTATATTTTTGCCTTGGTCAAACCACCTTTGAAATATTGTTTTCAGTTCTGGAAGGACATTTTAGGAAGGACATTGATGAGCTGGTGAGTGTCCAGAAGAGGCCACTAAGATCAGAAGGGTCTTAAGATCAGATCATAAAAGAATCGATTGAAGGAACTTGGGATGTTTAGCCTGGAAAAGAGAAGACTTAGGGAGAATACGGTGACTTCTGTCAAGAGTTTGAAGGGCTATCATGTGGAACAACACACAGGATTATAGATTTAGAGCTAAAGGGATCTTAGTAATTATCTAAACCAAAGCTTTCATTTTTTCCAAATGAGGAAACTGAGGCCTAAAGAGCTTCAGTGACTTGCCTGAGGTCAAATAGCTAGCAAGTGACAGAGCTGGGATTGATTGTAAACCTAATCTACTGACCAGTATTCCACAGAGCCTCCACATAATCTTCTTGGCTCCAGAGGTTGGAACAATGAACAATGAAAATTGCAGAGACAGATTAAGGTCAAACTTTCTGACAATGAGAGCTATTCCAAAGGAGAAACAGCTGCCTCCAGATGCAATGGGTTCACCCTTCCTTGGGGGATGGGGTGACTGGGTAACCACTTGTTGGGTATGTCGTAGAGGGGATAGAAGCTGATAGATAGAAGCTGAATTGGATAGCCGATGAGGTCCCTTCTCATCTTGAGATTCTGATTGTGTTATGGCACAGAAAACATTGGAGTCCTCAGATCACAAGATTTGTAACTGGAGTAGACCTTGGAGCTCATCTAGTCCATTCTTATCTTATGGAGAAGGAAACTGAAGCCCAGAAAGGAGAAGGACAGTCACATGGACAGTAAGTAATAAGGTGGGATTCAAACCTACATCCTCTGACTTCAAATCCAGTGTCTTTCCCACTATACCAAATTCTAGACCTCAGGGGAGCTGACTTCCAGCCCAGTTAAGCCACTTACTAACTGTGTGACCCATTGAAGGTGGCTTTCCCTCTCTGGGCCTCAGTTTCCACATCTGGAAAATGAGAGGGTTGGAATAGATGGATAATAAAATCCTTTCCAGCTCTGACAGTCTGTGACTTTCCGGTTGTCTGAGTGATGGGCCCCAGGAAGGTAGATTGTGCTTTCAGCACAGGGAAACTCAAGCTTCCTCGATAGTCCCTCCCTCATGAATCAGTCCTCTGTACAGTCGCCCAGCGTGGTCCCCCCTCACTTCCACCCCAGGAGCCCTACACCAGCAATTACGGTAATTAGCCCCAAGGCTGTGCTGAGAGCGCTGGAGACTTTGGCTCCCGCTGACCTCCTTTCAGGAGACACCTGATTAGTTCATTCGCAGTCACATGGTCTGGCCTCAGACTTGTTGCTGGGCATCTTAGGTTGCCATAGAGACTCGCTTCCCCAGCACAGCCTCTTGAACAAGAGGGAGAAAATTGTTGGCTCAAAAGGGGGCTGCAAACTCAGCCATGGGGGAGGGACAGAGACTGGTAAGGGCAGCCAGGTTTCTTTTCTCCTCCCCCACCAGGCTCCCGTTTATGTTCCTCAGAAATTCTTCCATCCGCAGCCTGTCATTACCCCATACAAGGAGATTCCTCCCCTATCCCCGCAACTTTTATTGCTACTGCAGAGATTCCTCTTCCTCTGCCCCCCCCCCATATATTTCACCCCATCCCTGCACCTCCCAGACTTGCGTGGCCATTCCAATTTCCTAACATCCTTCCCAGTGCTAACATTCACAGAATGAAAGAAAGAAGCCTTTCCCAATCCCTCTGAATTCTTCCCTAAAACCTTCCCTTTGTTAATTATTTCCTATTTATCCGTATATAGTTTGTCTGAATATTTGGTTGCTTGTTGTCTCTCCCATTAGATTGTGAGCTTCTTAAAGGCAAAGACTGTCTTTTGCCTTTCTTTGTATCCTCAGCTCTTAGAACAGTGCCTGTTACATAGTAGGCAATTAATAAATGCTTACTGACTGAATTACTGACTGATTTCAGAACTGAATAGAAACAGAGACCATCTAGTCCGACCTGGAGCCAAATAAGACCCCTCCTTTTCCCCCTTCCACAACATTCTTGGAAGAAGGAAGGGAGAGGGAGGGGTTACTGGAGAATACAATTGGCTGAATTCAGAATTGGTTGGATGGTCAGACCCAATGGTTTGGTGCCAGCTTAGAAGATCTCTAGTGGATTGCTCCAGGGATATATGTTTGGTCCCATGCTGTTTACCATGTTTTATCGATGACTCAGGAAAAGACATAGATGACATGCTCACAAAATCTGCTCATGAGCCAGCCCTCTGGATGATAATCAGGATCTGAAGAGATCTTGCCATTGAACTAAATCTGAGGTGAATTTTAATAGGAATACATGTACACGAACAGTCTGATATTTGAGTCTGGGTCCAATAAATTCAAGATGGAGGAAGTGTGGTTAAACAGCAGTTTGTCTGGATGAGATCTTGAGATCTCGTGGATTGTAAGCTCAGTATTTGTATGAAATCTCAGACCCCATGAAGAAGAGATGCAATGTCCAGGACTGAGGAAGTGGTGAGTCCTCTGTTCTCTGCCTTGGTCAGACCATATCTAGAGCACTGTGTTCAGTTCAGGCCACCATGATTTAAGAAGGGCATGGGTAACTTGAGGAGCATCCAGAGGAAGGTAATCAGGGTGGTGAAAGGTCTGCCTCACATGTGGGTCATTTGAAGGAACCAGGGATGTTTAGTCTGGAGTAAAGGCTTGCGGGAACTTTGTCATCAAATGACACAATATTTGTAACATGCTTAGCACATCTGGTACCACACATTAGGTGCTCAGTCAATACTTGTTCCCTTCCACTCTCTCAAAGAAGAAGCCTTGGCCATCCTGTTCTGCTTTGCCCAAAGGGTCCTAGGAAGAACTGGTGGAGGTTGAAGAGAGGAAAATTTAGCTTTGATAGCAGGAAAAACTTCCTTACAATTAGAATTCAAAACAAGTGGAATGGGCTGCCTCCAGAGGTGGTTGGTCTCCTCTCACTGAGGGTCTTGGAGCAGAGGCAAGCAGATGGGCTTCTTCAGGCCTAATTTGGGTCAGTTGGCCTCTAATGTAACTTCTAATTCTGGGACCCTGTGAATCTGAGATCCCTGACATGTGATCATCCAGCCTTTGCCATAAAAAATCCAGCCTTCCCCCTCTCCCCTCCTATTGCCCCGTTGTGTAGCAATTTTGTTCAGTTTTCCTGACATCAGCCTCAATCTGTGTCTTTGCAACTTCCACCCATACTCCTGGGTTTGCTATCTTGGGGCAAGTAATCCCTTTCCCACATGGCAGCCCTTCAAAGACAATGATCTTGTCCACTGCACCTTCCCCAACAAATCATCTCCAGACTAAATATTCTTAGTCCCTTCCATTGACCCTTGTGTGGCAAGATCTCAAGACCTTTTTAAATCTCATTTGCCTTCATGTGAAATTTCTGCAGCTTTTTAATGTCCTTCCTAAAATGGGCTGCCCAGAACTGACCTCATTACTCCGGAACAATCTATGTTCTAAGGTATCTCCCAGCTCTGACATTGTATATTCTAGGGTCAATCAATCAATAAACATTTATTAAATGCTTAATATGTCCTAGACACTGTGCTAAGTAGTGGGGATAAACAAAAAAGGCAAACAATAGTCCCTGCCCTCCAGGAGTTTACAATCTAATGGGAAAGGCAACATTCAAACAAATATTTACCAAGCAAGTTCCTCCCGGGTCTGCCATTGTATGTTCTGTGTCCTAAAGAGCTTCTCAGGTTTGACATTGTATATTCTAAGGGCCCTTCCAGCCCTGACCTTGTTTGTTCTAAGATTCCTCCCAGCTCTGATATTCTATTACTTAAGGGCCCTCCAAGCTCTGACAGTGTATGTTCTAAGGGCCCTTTTGGCTATGATATTGTATGTTTTATGTTCTGAGGTCCCTCCAATCTCTGACATTCTATATTCTGTGCTCCAATATTTCATGTTACAGACCCTAAGCTTCCTTGCAGCTATGACATTTTACATTCCATGTTCTAAAAGTCCCTTCCAATGCTAACAGTCTGTGTGGGACAGCGACCCTCGTCCAATTAAACTCAGAGACCTCTCAAGGTGGAAACAAAAGTCATTCTTTATTACAGGGGGGTCTACTCCTCCAGTGCACTACCAGCAGGAGAGAGGTGAGGCACAGAAAGAAAGACGAGGTTATATACCCTAACATAAACAAACCCCTACCCACCGCTATCCCTTCTTCCCATTGGCTGGGAGGCAGGCTCACAATCCCCGGAGACAAAGAACAAGGAAACAGGGTATAGCCAATCCAAACATACACGTCCTTATTTAGCAAACCTAATGCTGATGGGGCAGTGGTGTGGCAATCAAGGGGGGGAAGGGCCAGAAAGCCCGGACAAACAAGATACTTTCGGGGGGATATCGCCTGATGTGCTCCCTTATCTTGTTTATATATTTGTGTAAACCAATAAACCAAGAAATCAATTAATCAATACTAATCTCCCCCTGTCCTGTTTTCTTATCTCCTCTGCCTTTTGACACCCTTCCCACCTATTCCCTCCAAGCCCTTGTCAGGTTCCAAGACCATGTCTCTCTTTTTTACTCTTTTTTTTTTCAAACTATTAGGAGACTCCCTGTTTTCTTGAATTAAAGCCCAGCAAGCAAGTTGTGCCCTGAGCTTGGCATAACAACAATCCTTTTCGCTCACTCTGCCGCAACTAAATCACAGAACTGATGGTCCCTGAGCTTGGGCAAGCACCAACAGGCCCAGACATGAAGCCCTGCTATGAATGGATTTTTTGTCACTAGACAGCCTTGCCTCAATGTTGCTGTTGTGCCTCACTACTGTTGCTACACTATACTATTTGATTCTTTGTCTAGCCACAAATATAAAAATCAAGGTTTAGCTCCACTGCCTTGAGTCTCCTACTAGAGGAGGCCCCAACATATATGTCTAATTTCTCTCCTCCAATGGAATAAAGAAAGTTTTTTGCTTTTAACCTGTGTGAGCTAGTTGGTATTTTTAGAGGTTGCAAAACCTCTGTGACGCTTTGGTCATTTGTTATCAGAGTTGACACTGTCATGGACCCCAGAAATACAAACACAATACACTCCAAGGCACAGGCATGTTCTTGAAATACCCATATGGAAACGAGTACATACATAGTCATAGATTTATGAGCAGACATACACATTCAGAGATGCAGATAGACACCCAAGCACAAAGCCCACATCCTGCATAAGGATTGCTTATGTGTTATCTCTCTCATTAGAATATAAACTCCTTGAGGGCAGGGACTATCTCACTTATTTTTATTTGGATCTGCACTTAGCCCAGTGCCTGAATCTATCTGTCTGTCTATTTACTTTGTATAAGTTGGAGCCTCCCAGTTGAGTACAGGAACTATTTTAGTTTTGTCTCTGTAAAGCCAGCACCCAGAATAGTAAGTGCTTAATCAGCGTGTAGAATTGAGTTGTTACTTCTGAGTAGTTTGTTTTGTTTATGTGTTTGTCCTCTCAAAGCAGATGTCTAGAATTGGATTTAAATTGCACAAAGTCTTCAGCCTCACTCTCTTTTCCAAAGTCATTAAAAGTCCAATGGCAAGACAAAAGTCAAGAAAACTGCTGATGACCCCAATTCAGTGGATGACCTAGATGTTTTTGATGTCTGACCAAGTTCTGAGCACTCGCTGCCATTTGAACAAATTGTTCTCAACCTCTCATTCCACTGAGGGAAGTTTTCACATGCCTGGGTTAGACACTCCCCTGACTCACCTATTGGTTTGAGACCCATTGATTACCCTTAACCTGGTTTAGTCCCTCTGCTGAGGCAGTTTGCTAGGGTGTGGCCACTGCACATGCTACAATTTCTTGAAACCACAGGTGAGAATGGAGCACCAGGTGGACACCAAAGTTCAATGAGCAGCCCTGAAAAGAGCTCCTCACACCAGAGATAGTCCTCCTTGAACACCCCATACGCTCAGATTTATTAGAACCAGAAGGTAACATGAAAACAGAATTCACTGGTCACTTCTTGAAATAGACCCCAAAATATAGACTTTCAAGAACATTGCAGCCAAAATTTGACTTTCTTCTCCCCGATCCCCCTTCCCCATTTCTAATCAATTGCCAAGTCTTGTTCATATTCTCCCCATAACTTCTCTAAATTTGTTCCTTCCTATACTGACACAGCTCCTATCCTAGTTCAAGTTGAAATCACCTTTTGTCTGAATTGTTGCAATGGTCTCTTAATTGGCTTCCCTATCTCCAATCTCTCTCCTCTTCAACCCATATTCCACACAGCCACCATTCAATATTCTTTTTTTCCTTTTCTTTAAAAAAACATTTTTTGCATGTGAAACTCCAAGTCTATTATGTACAACTTGCTTTTCCTTTTAAATATATAATAAAGTTATCATGTAACTTTCTTTTTTTCCTTCCCTCTGCCCAGACCATTAGACAACAATATGTATAGATACACATATATATATAAATATATGTGTATTTGTTTATATGTATATATGTAAAGAAATATATATAAATCCATACACATATGTAAATATATATGTAAAATATGTAAATCTATACTATACATACTACTATTACTCAATTCTTTCTCTAAATGCAGATAGCATCTTCCTTCATAGATCCTTTGTAGTTTATTTGGGTATTTATAATAGTCAAAATGATTTAGTCCCTGAAAGTTGTTCTTTGCTGCTGGAGAACACTGTCACCCGTGGTCGTTTTCCAAGTTGGTGTCTACCAGTTCCCCTTCCTATATTGAGGCTCTGTCGGTGGAGGGGTCCCAGTGTTGGCACTTGCCTGTTCCACTAACCTGGGTTTCAGGATCTCCCTCTGGTATGCTGAGATGGGGCTTGCCACTGGCTTGCTGGAACACATCTAGTCCTGTACTGCTCCTCTTCCTTCAGAGCAAGAGGGGCCTTTCCCATTAATTCCCCAAGTTTCCTGGGGTATAAGACTGCTGTGCCCTGTCATTTTGCTGGCTCAGGGTTTTTCCTGGGTTGATATTTTCTGGGCTTTCAGAGGTCAATGAGGGAGAGTGAGAGTGACTTACTTCTTACTCTACCATCTTGGCTCCCCTGAAAGTTGCTCTTAAAACAATATTGCTGTTATTGTATACAATATTCTCTTGGTTCTGCTTGTTTCACTCTTCATTATTTCATGCAAGTCTTTCCATGTTTTTCTAAAATCACTGAGCTCATCATTTCTTTATTTATTATTTTAATTTATCAACAATCACTTCCATAAACTTTTGAGTTTTAAATTTTTCTCCACCTCCTTCCCCAAGATGGTGCACAATCTGATCTAGGCTGTACATATACATTCCCATTAAACCTATTTTCACATTAGTGATGTTGTAAGGAAGAATGAGAACTAATAGGAGGAACCACAAGAAAGAGAAAACAAAACAAAACAGAAGAAAAAAATAGCAAACAGTATGCTTTGATCTGCATTCAAACTCCATAGTTTTTTCTTTTGATGTGGATGGCATTTTCCATCATGAGACCTTTGGAGATATCTTATATCCTTGCATTGCTGAGAAGGGCTAAGTCTATCAACGTTACTCATCACGCAATGTGGCTGTTATTGTGTGCAACGTTCTCCTGGTTCTGCTCACTTCACTCAGCATCAGTCCATGCAAGTCTTTCCAGGTTTTTCTGAAGTCCGCCTGTTCATCATTTCTTATAGCACAATAGTTTCATTACATTCATATACCACAACTTGTTCAGCCATTCCCCCAACTGATGGACATCCCTGCAATTTCCACCACAAAGAGAGCTGCTATAAATATTTTAGAACATAGAGGTTCTTTCTTTTTTCCTTAATCACCTTGGGAAACCAGACCTAATACTGGTATTACTGGGTCAAAGGGTGTAGGCAGCTTTACAACTCTTTTGGCATAATTTCAAATTACTCTTCAAGATGCTTCCAGGCCTAGAGTCAGGAGGACCTGAGTTCAAATCCAGCCTCAGACCAGTCACTTGACAGTAGCTGTGTAACTCTGGGCAAGTCACTTAACCCAAATTGCCTCACCAAAAAAGAAAAAAAAAGATGGTTGGACCAGTTCACAGTTCCACCAACAATGAATTAGTGTCCCAATTTTTCCGCATCCCCTCCAACATTTGTTACTTTTCCTATCAATCATTTTAGCCAATTTAATAAGTACAAAATGATTTATCAATGTTGTTTTAATTTGCATTTCTCTAATCAATAATGGTTTAGAGCATTTTTTATATGAATATAAATTGTTTTGATTTCTTCATCAGAAAGTTGATGGTTCATATCCTTGGACCATTTATCAATTGGGAAACCATTCAATATTCTTAAAACAGAGATCCAAACATTCCACCCATCTATTCCAATATCATAGATAGACAGGATAGGATAGGATAGATGGTAGGTAGAGATAAAGCATTTATCAAAGATCGTGATGGGTACTGTGTTAAATTCTGGGATACGAATGCAAACAAACAAAAAGGTCAGTGCCCTTAAGAAAATTCTGTTCTAATGGGAAGACAACACATAAAGGAGATTGTGTGTATGGAGGGCATGGGGAAAAAGGCCACAGAGTTAATTCAGCAGTTTAGTTGGTAGTAAAGTTAGCATGGCAGGGGCCCTTCCTAAAATATCAGCTTGGCACAGTAACAACAATATTGTATGACAATCAACTGTGAATTCAGCTCAGCAATACAATGATCCAAGACTGTTCCTAAGGACTTTTGATGAAAAATGTTATCCGCCTTCAGAGAAAGAACTGATGGAGTTTGAATGCAGATTGAAGCATACTTTTTTTTTACTTTATTATTTGGGGGCATTGTTTTTCTTTGGTCTTCATTTTCTTTTGCAACATGGCTAATATAGAAATGTTTTGCATGACTGCACATGTATAATCTATATCAAATTGCTTGCCTTCTGAAGGATGGGTCAGGGGAAGAAGAGAATTTGAAACTCAAAATTCCAAAAAACAAATATTAAAATTTTTTTACAAGTAACTGAGAAAAAATAAAATACAAATAAGATAAAGAATAATGTAATATAGTAATATAAATAAATAAAAATTAATTGTTTAAAAAAAAAAGTCAGCTTGGGCAAGTTACTCAGGAGAGCAGGGCCTTAGGTCAGAAGATAGAGTCGAGGAGACATAGGGTGGAGGATGACTCCCTAAATCCTTCCCTAATTTGACTCCAGCCTAGCTTTTCAGAGTATTATACGTTATTCCCCTTCATTTACTCTTTGATTCAACAAAACTAGTTTCTTCAGTGCTCCCCACATAATGTATTCCATCTCTTACCTCCACACCATTGTACGCATGATTCTATATGTCTGACAAGCCTTCCTGCCTGAGGGTCTTCCCTTCCCAAATTGATTTTTTGACTAGGTAAAAGAGGCCGTTCTCTGCCTCATTTCTTACCTATCCTGAATCATTGATTAGGCATTGCCTCAGTCAAACTCAGCAGTTAAAACCTTCACTTAAAAAGGCCAAGGTCTCCCACTGCATCCAGGGTGGTCTCCAATTGTCCTGTTCTATATCTCACTACTGGACCTAGATGGCCCTGCAGGAGAAAGTGGGGCTAGTGACTTTGCCCAGTTCTCCCTCACTTAAATCCAATTCATTTGCATATCTTTGCATTACCTTCCTGATGTCACAGCCCTCTCTGAGAACAAAGGATAAACAACTTGACTATTTACCCCTGCCTCAAAGATTCTTTGTTGTTCAGTCCTTTCAGTCACATCTGACACTTTGTGACCCCCATCTGGGATTTTTTTGGCAAAGATACTAGAGCAGTTCGCCATTTCCTTCTCCAATCCATTTTACAGATGAAGAAACTTGAGGCAAACAGGGTTCAGTAGCTCCAGGTCACATAGCTAGGAAGTGTCTGAGGTCATATTTGGACTCCGGTTTTCCAGACTCTAGGCGCTGAGCTCTATCCACTGCACCACCTGCCTGCCCTAGCCTACTTTCAAACCCAGCTGGTGT